AATTAGAATTTACTATATCATGTTGGCATTAGTTTAAGTTATTTTTGGTGAAGAGACACTAATTCGTTCTGGATATTATACTATAGTATGTCTCTTCAGAGGTTGCAAGTGCTTTGACGCAATTTTATTTGATCCTTAGAATCTTTTTTAGATTAGCACTGCTTGTTGATTAAGATTAATGAAAGGGACAATAGAGATTTATATAATACTTCATGTCCTTGCACACCAAACTAAGCATGTTCAAGACATATCCAAATTAATTGCACTTCCCATTAATTAAATTTAGAGAAGCCGACCGATAATTGGTTACTTTATTGAATCTTTTTACTGTAATGTGGAATTATCGGTAATTAATCGTTAATTCGTTGCTAAAAGAATTCCTAACTAATTGAATTTTCTTTTAATCCATTGCTAATTTATACACTACATCAAAAATGATATTTAGAAGCACTTAATCAACGACAATAACTTAATTGTCATTAAATATATATCTTTAGTAGCAATTAATATTTTTTATAAATGTCCTTAGAGTTTTTAGCAACATTATTTTTATTATAGTAATAGCTAAATATAAGATTAGCGTGAAATATTTGTTATATAATTACAAAATTTTATTTGTCTGGGAAACACCAGACGAGGTAGGACTCGACTTATAATAGTATTTGAAATAAAAGACAACTTGGGATTATATTATTTTTCTGACACTGTGCTTTATGAGGTACGTTCCTTATTCCTAGCTAGGCCCGTCTTTTGCTGTTTGCAGCAAATGAGTAAATACAGTTAACTATTTTATCGCTAAATTATTCGAATCTAACAAAATTTTATGATATTTTATTGCTATTAATTAATTCATTACTAATAAATTTTATTATTTAGCTATAAAAATTGATTGTTATCATTTTTTTTTTTGTAAATAGTGATTATTGGTGAATGGATATGATTTATTTTGACTGTGAATGTTTCGGGTGGAAGAAGATGAGAGGGCATAAGTTGGATAAGCCAATATAATTTTTCTAAAACACTATTAAAAATTATTTCTAAGTTATAAACATATGTAATTTCTTTTACATATCAACTTACAATAAGAGATTATATCTGCACAATCAAGAAAATAAAGAAATTTAATGGTAAAACGTTGGATATTTGAATGTGGTCGAAAGTCTAGATCAAGTTCAATCATCAATGTTATAGGGGGAAAGGGAAGAAAAGAAATAAATATTAAAAATTATTTGGAAAGGGACTTATTGAAAAATATCACCAACCTCCGAGGGGAATACATAAATTGAGTCAACTACACTATGCAGAAAATAGATATGAAATGGAAAAAGATATAATAATTATAATAATAATAATAATAATAATAATAATAATAATAATAATAATAATAATAATAATAATAATAATAATAATAATAATAATAATAATAATAATAATAATAATAATAATAATAATAATAATAATAATAATAATAATAATAATAATAATAATAATAATAATAATAATAATAATAATAATAATAATAATAATAATAATAATAATAATAATAATAATAATAATAATAATAATAATAATAATAATAATAATAATAATAATAATAATAATAATAATAATAATAATAATAATAATAATAATAATAATAATAATAATAATAATAATAATAATAATAATAATAATAATAATAATAATAATAATAATAATAATAATAATAATAATAATAATAATAATAATAATAATAATAATAATAATAATAATAATAATAATAATAATAATAATAATAATAATAATAATAATAATAATAATAATAATAATAATAATAATAATAATAATAATAATAATAATAATAATAATAATAATAATAATAATAATAATAATAATAATAATAATAATAATAATAATAATAATAAAATAAAAATAAATAAATAAATAAAAACAAGGCAATTGGCAACATGCAGATCACATGTTCAAGTTTTTTGTGGACAGAAGCTAATTATAAGAAATAAAAGAAGTCTTATTATTTTTTTGGTAAAAAATTAAAAAATCTTAATCATGTCCATCTATTTATAATGTTTGTTAACTACTTTCTCTGTCACAAATTATCAATCGTAATTTTCTTTAAATAAATACCTTAAATTATTTATCATTTTAAAAGTTTAAAATAATTTATTTATTTTTCTATCTTATCCTTACAGGTAATTGTTGACTACAAACATATCGGCCAACTAAACGGCATTCTCGTAGCAATTGGGGTTATGAATTTTCGGTTTATGGGGTAGTATGGGATCCGTAGTCGAAGAGTAAATCACCCGTTTGATAATAAAGTAAATATATCTAATTGAACAAAATTTATATCTTACGATATAAATAAGAGTGAAATGAAAATTTTAAAAATCAGTAGCTAATATTTCTTGCCGTATATGCAAAAGAGAAATACAATAAATATTAATAAATTCACAACAAATTACATTAAATATAAATAATTTATTTAAAAGTATAAAAAAAAAAAAGGAAGGAAGGAACTAAAACGCAGTTGTACGTCATTGCTCTTTTTCATGCATTAATAACTTTTAGTCGGACCAATAAATCTCGAATATATACTGAATTGGTTTCATGGAAGAAGGCCGATGTAGGGAGTTGTGGCATCATAGTTCCTGTCGATTAGAGATGAATCATTTTGTGAGATAACAGTACCCACAGCTTCTACAAACACAACAAAAAACTCAAACACCAATTTCACCATTTCAATGCACATTTCTAACCTTTGAATCACCATTAATGTATTTTTCTTTTTCTTCTCCTTTTTCTATTTTCCGCGTCTTTATTTATTTTCTCTTTTGTCTAATTCCAGTATCTGTTCTATTTATAGTTTCCAAAAATTACACAACCATGACTTGAAGAACAAATAAATCCTCACTTAAATTTGGCTTTTGGAATCACCCAAAAGACAGATAGTCTATAGTACAATAGTAGTGACATGGAACAACTTTATATTTCTCTCTCAAATCATACATAGGAATTTTTTTCACTTTTAGTCCCTTGAATGTTTAGTAACAAATTTTAATTGTGGTCCTCATAATTTTTGGATAAATGAGTAGCTTTAAATCCATTTACTTGTGCTAAACTGTTGAATTACCAACGTGTTATGCTCTATATTTGAAGGTGATCGATCACTACTAAAAAATAGGATTTAGCAATTTTATAGCTAAAATAGCATTGTTAATTCTATTTAGCGACAATTTTTTATTAGCTACAAGTGATTTAGCGATGAAGTTCATAGCTAATTCTATTTAGTGACTTATTTTTATTAGCTACGAGCGAAATAGCGATGAGCTTTTAATCTTTTTTTAGTAGTAAATACAGTTCAAATATCACATATTTATCTATGAAGAGACCAAAACTATTAAATTTTGGATGTGCAGTGTACTTACTCAAATAAATTAATATGATAGAGATCAAAATCATTTACTCATATAAAATTAAGGGATCAAAATGCAATTATTCTAATATGTTAAGGGTCAAAAGAGCAATTATTTTAATATACATATAAAGGACAATTTTGGAAGATAGATTGATGAGAGATGACTGATGAGATTTGAATGGTTTAACTAGTCGATGAATGTGATCGAGACCCTTTACTATTATTATTCACACAGCCAGGGCGGATCTATGCTTTGGGAAATAAGGCTTTTGCTTTAGGCTCTCAAATTTTTATCAAGAATAAATTAGGTATTAAATTTTTTATAGAAAAAATTAATTATTTATGATAAAAAGTATATTTTAAAAAATATATATTATTTTACCCATTTAACCTTTTTTGTACTTTGTTAAAAATAACAATTAATAATGAAAAGTGTTGAACGAAGTGAATTAGAAATTCTTTTTTATTTCTTTTAAATTTAGTTTCAAACATTACTACAAACATATTAAAATGGGATATACCAAGTCATCAACTTTTTGAGTCAAATTCTATGATTCTAACTCTTATCTTTATTTAATATTTGTCAACTTATTACTTATAGAATTATGTTAACAATTCATATAATAATTGCCTCACTGAAAGATGTTTTTCAATGTTGAATTGATAAAATCTTATCTAAAACTAATAGCTGAAAAAATAATATTAAATACTAATTTTCATCTAAATAGTGTAAGAAAAATAATTTTTGAATAAATATAAATATAAAGTTTTTTTATATTCTAGGCCTCCAATAATGTTGAGCCGCCCCTGCACACAACCCTATCCATCTATATATCATGCATGTTGGCAATAAAATTAATAAATAAAGATATGTAATAAACCAACGTAGCATTATTTATATATATATATATATATAGAGAGAGAGAGAGAGAGGCGATTTAGAATTTTAATTTGATGAGTTAAAAATTTATGTTCTTAGTTGTATCGACGTACGCATTGCACTCTTGCAATCACTTGTCCAAAATTTGATATTTGTCGAAACTAATTAAAGTTCATATTCTCTGATCATTGGTTTAGTAGAAAATTCTAATTGATTGAGTTAGCTAGCTGACAAGCTTAGTGATTAATTTTCACCAAATCTGAACTTTTAAACTAGCTACACGTTGGCATTGTTTAAGTTTTTTTTTTTTTTTTTTTGGGTGAGGAGGCAATATTTCGATCTAGATATACTATGTCTCTTCAAAGGTTGCAACTTGGAAGTGCTTTGAGGTTGTTTTTTTTTAGACAATTTGATCTTAGAATCTTTTTACATATATTACTTACATTAACTAAGGTGAGGGCCGTGGGGATTAATATAATGCTTCATTTGTAGCACCTAGAAAGAAAAAATTCAAGAAAATGACTAAAAAAAAAGAAAGGGGAAAGCTACACATTTTATATTTTTTAGCATATATATATACTAGAAGGGCATGGCCCGTGCTTAGCACGGGCCCAACATTTTATATTTTTAATGGTGGATCTTTACATCATCATTTGGAGGTGCAAGATAGGAGTTCAATTAAAAGAAAAATGAAAAAGTAGCACATGAAAAATAATGACCTGATATTACAAAAGCTCGATAAAGTTGCAACACAATTATAAGCATTTAAAGATGTGTTGATGTAGAAGTATGCCAAATAAGTACATAAAAGTTTACTTATAAGAATATCTTCATTGGAACAAAATAACTTAAACAATGACTGATAAAATTATTCATCCGATCATAAGGATCTTAGATAGAGCTTGTATTGGGTTGCCTCTCTTAGTGGTGCTTGAGGACTACGATCTCGATTAGAGAGGCAACCCAATTCAAGCTCAGTAGTCGGAACTACTATATTAACAATCCAAAGGAGGGTATAGTACTAACAGTTGAATGTTTACTCAAATTTTCAGCAGTTCTAAGATAAACAGAAAAATTATGAATTACTTTGATGATAACCCTCTTCTTTTTCATTTTGTAATTGTCTGCTAACTTGTAGAATAGATGGAATCACACTTGGAAAAACAATGAATTTCAATTATGAAGTTTTGAAGGTTCACTCTAGCATATCTCATATATATGACACTAAAATTTCAGGAAAAGGCCAACCAAAATTCTCAAATGGTAACCACCTAGTAAGGAGTAATCTCTACTACACACTGAAAAGTATTGGTTAAGATTGCCTTCACAAGAAGAGGATTCAATGTTTAAATTTCATAGATTCATCCTTTAGGTTCTTACAACGGAAAACATTACTCTCTTTAAATCACATATGGGTCATGTATCGGGTCGAAGATAATCGACACAATTGAACCCATCAAGCTTATGCTTTGTCTGCCACTATTTCCAGACATAAATTTTAATGAATATAGCAATACATGTAAATATTAACATCATAAGCAACAATCGAATCAATTATAAAGTGGTAATACCAATAATTTGTCTATGCAAGTCAAATTTCTAGATAACAAATGAGACAACACTTACATGTGGATAGAAGTGCAACCACACTTGAGATTGATACCTGCAATTTCTAATGAACAAAGTACAAACACCTGATCCAAAAAAATAAGTACAATCAAGTTTATGTAATTCGATAAACAGCACACAAATCTAACAGCAAAGGAACAAACAAAAATAATAGTTATGAAATTGTTGGGGGAAAACTTACATCTATTATTTTTAGAAAAAAGCTCTACCAATATGTTCACTTTTCAACTTGATCACCTCTGTCAACAATAACATATCCAGTATAGTCCCACATCTTGATTGCCTCTATCAAATAGAGATATGTTTTCATTCGACACTTAAAAATCCAAATGAACCAGAAGGAAAAATCAGCAAGTAAGAAATTGAATTATCTTTCGTGAAAGGTTTAATTAACAAAATTGACTAAAGTAGTTCTTGCATATAGATCAAGGATTGATCATAATTTTCTTGTGAGTTGCAGAGACTCGCACACAAAGGGATAATCATGTTCATCCATGTCATTACAGACATACAGAACAGCAAAGTTGTGAACTTCCACAACGATCTTGTATCATGAATTTGTGGATGCACTCCTCCTTGTTCTTTTGGTAATAATCTTGACTGAAGAGTTGCTTTTCTTCTAAAAGCTTTCCATTCATCAAAAATATCTATATTCTTAATAAATAAAGGTATCAATAACTCAACTAATAAGATAACTCTTGTATTGGTAATGTGACTTTTCTTATGTGCCTTTGATTCAAACCACATGTTCTAGACTTCTTAATATAGGTTAATTCTCTTTCAAAAATAATTGAGATGGCATCAGGCGGTCAGGGTATAAAACTCAAAGGATTGTTATCGTGGCAAACTTCCAGCAAGACAATTAAGGAACATAATAACAAAAGAGCTATCATGAGCATAATAAGAGTGTAATTCTCTCCAGAAATCCCAATAAACTTAATTTATCAAGAACAAACACAAAAACAAAGAAAGATTCATAAACATAATAAAGAAGCCTGAAGTAATAACTGAAAATTATCCTAAGATAGAGCAAGTTAATAAAACAATGCATAATGATGACTCGACAATCATAAATAAGAGAGAACAAAGAACCCGACCTGTATATTTCAGTAAATATTTCATCAGGTATAACAAAACTAAAGGCCAAAATGAGACATTAGGATTATTTGCTAAGGAGACCTATGACTGTGAGGATTCTCTATTTGGTTAACATGTTCTACTAATGTTTAGATTGCAAATGAAGTATCTTACATGTTAAGGAAAAAACTTAAAAGAAGCATATTCCAGAAGCTCTAGTATAGTCTAGTACATTTTGGAAGATATTTGAGTTTAACAATATCTCAGGTTGTTGTAATCATCTATTAGGTTGCTTTTTCTATTGCAATTTGACACAGATTTATGAATTTATGGCATTTTGTGGTGTACTAATTTTCCTATGTTCATCAAAGAGTGAGAAATAACTTTTTGAAGTGTAGATTCATATTCACTTTGTCAACTTGGATGTCCACCAAATGGAGATATGTTGCATAATTTCAAAGATCATTTGATATGCATGTCAAGTATTGAAGCAACATTGCCTAAAAGCTCTAAGCCAATTACAAGTAATACTTTTTAGGTCAATAACATGGTATTGTCTTTTGTCTTTCATTTCCAGTTTATGAGATTAATTTTCTACTCTTTGTTGATGTTCTGTTGTTTACTGTGTATGTGCATTTGTACCTATTTATTTGTATTTTGCTTTGTATGATATTGTTTAGATACTGAGTTTTAAGACACCATAAACTAATATCTTGGCAAGATATAAAGAATTTAGCTATATGCATTTTCTTGTGTCTTTATTTCTTACTCTTTTCTTTCAGGAGGATATAGATTATTAGGATTTGGGTAGGTTAGCAACAAATCCTAATAACTTGGATATAGATTATTGAATAGTGGAATAATCAGTTACCTTTTATTTGTCTATAATGTACACAATAACTTGGATTTGGGTAGGTTAGCAACAACCCAATATCTCACGGATCGAATTACAAGCAATGTTAAATTTATCTGTGACACGGATTTGAAACTACGTATAGATATCCTCACAGTGGTTTCTATTGCAGGCAAGAAATTTTGTATTAACGGTAAAAAATGGACTTGAAAGTAACATACTTACACTATGATCTATTCTCGAATGGAGGTATCCATCCAAGCTGTAGTAGAGCTTAGAATTTTGCCATATAAAGAGACTTTCAAAATCTCTCATGTCATTCCGCTTTTTGTTCTCTTTTTGAAGGAACAGGGAGGAATCACCAAAGCAAGAAGTACAAAGCATTTACATGAATGATGATACTGCAGGAGAAATCACCACATTCCAAATTATTTATTTACATGAATGACTATATTGTAGAAAAAAATCTATAAATTCTACAAGCATTGCTCTAAACTACAGTAGAAATTTGTAAGATGCAATATTGAGACCAAAGTACATAAAATTTTGAAGTATAGGCTGAATCAGTTTTAAAATATCACACATAAAGTAGAAAAAGTTCTAAAACAACAATGACAGAGAACTAACAGATACTTATACTTGAGCAGAAGCGTGTGTTCGTCAGTTTCACCGTCTTTAAAATCTAAATTTCAAAATTGTTAATGTCCAACGATATAACAACTCACCGCAGTAAGATAGAAAGCATATTACTAATTTGTTAAAACTGGTTTCCAACTCGGTCAAGTTCCAATGGCAACAAAATATTTTCTATTAAGTAAAATGGTTCTTTATTAGTAGTTCTACTAACAAAATAATGCCTCGATAGTTCCTGGTCAAGGGCAAATATGAAATTCAAATGGAACAAAACGATAAACGTAATCCAATTGCGACAATATAATAATAGCTCAAGTAACTTATCAATTTTTGCACTACTAAATAAACTGAGAACATATGACTCCTCCCGAAGTAGCAGTAATAGCAACGATCCTTACCAATTTTGCAGTACCATGGCTGCTCCGATAGGATCCCCTTTTTTCTGTTAGTTAGATCAAATCAACAAAACTCCAGCTTACAACACCTAGATGTGTGTGTTCTTTCATCTATATATCTACAATATCAGCAAATCAAATATAAGAAGAGATGGCTTATATAAGTAACGAAATTGGTGCTCGAAATCTAAATTGATGTATCAACATTCTCTAATAACATATGAGAACAAAGAAATTATATTACTCATTAGAATACAAAACCAAGAGTATTTTGTAAATGCCTTCAGAATATTTGGATTTATCAAGTAGTACTTGCTTAATGAAATGGACTCAAATAAAATATAACTTACATTACATTCCATGGAAAATGTTTTCTTAGAAAACAAGTTGATTTTTGACTTATTTTCTCATGTTTGGTTGGTGAGTAGAAAATATTTTCCGAAAAAGATTTTTAGTGTTTGATTTATGAATGAAAAATGTTTTTGAAAAATTTCTTTTATTTTTACTAGAGTAGAAAATAATTGTTGAAATTGAAAATATTTTTTAAAAACAAACTTAATTTTTTTTGGGGGTGGGGTGGGGGGTGGGGG